TAATACCTTATGTATTTCATCTAATATATGTCTGTGAACTAGTTTAGATTCTCTATTGATTAATTATCTTGATTGCTTATTTGTGAGTCTTGACAAAATCTTTTCACATCTTTGATCTAAGATTTTCATCAATCAATGAAAAAACTTTTGACATGGTTTTGTAAGTTGATATTCATTGTATCTTATATTTTATTGTGTTGATTAAGTAGCATGAGTAGGATCAATATGATATTATACGGGTGCGTGATAATAGTGATGAAGAACGATGTTCACATACATTTGGCATATTAGATGAATACATGTAAAAAGGGTTAAGCGTATGTACGTATTCTGATCATTGTGTTTTATATGAAACAATCGTTTATCTGATATGGGTGCCGTCTTTTATTACCTGTTTATATTTGATTTAATTCTCTATAGACATATACTCTTCAGATCTGGATCAAGGATGATTACCTGTTAGGTCCTAAACTCTAGACATAGATTTAGGCTTAGCATTTGCGTGAGTATCAGTTCTTAATGTTCTGTGTTCTGTTTTTGTTGCATGAGACATCACCAATGAGACAACACAGTTGTTCTCTCGATGTTGTGTTAGAGATGACCTCTGTTGTGGGTGATACGTGAAGATATTAGACGAATGATTGAGTTGTGTTTAACATGTTCAAAAGAATGCATGTGTTATCAATTGATGAGATCCAATCCCAACAAGGCTCCGTTTATATTTCATTCTTTACTTTATATTTTCCGTCTTTAAATTTTCTGCCTTTTATTCATGGTTCCTTGAACCTTTTAAACCAAACCTTTTGAACAACAAGCTTAGAAATGTAGAGACCGTTGAACGGTGTTCTTTCATCGCACAGATCCATGTGGAGACGATATAAATCCCGGAGGGAATTCCTTCAAAACTAAATTTTTGCTTCTTGCCGCTTTACTGCATTTTGAATATTTCCCCGTTGTTCCCAGATGTTGGAGAAGCGTCTGATGCTGCTCCGTTCTGATTCTGCTTGTTGGTGAAATGGATGTCAAGGTTGACTGAGTTGACGTGAGACAACGACTTCTGCTCCTCAGATTGAGCTGGCTTGTCGAATGTCTTAGGTGTCATGTTGCTCGGGACAATGGACCACGTGTGTCATCTCCGTCACTTCGGACCGGTGAGCGCGATAGGGAGAGGTCGTGCCAAGGACATCTGTCAGCGCATGTCGCGTTTCTTGGTTGACTCCTCGACTTTTCCAGTTGCGTGCCGGCTTTGCTCCTCTTAGGAACGGGGGAGCGTTGCTCCCTGCAGGGAGAAGTGCGATCACGCTTCTGGGTAATCGTAGGTTAGGGCCTCTCTAGCCGCAGTCGGCGTCCGGGTTATCTCGGGGAGAGGCTTTGAGACTTACCTAGTTGGTGTCTCCATGGGGGAGAGTGTGGACGGGTATCTCTTCGTCGTGGTGATGGGCTACGAGATTCAGACCGTTAGTGTCTCCGCGGGGGAGAGCGTGATCGACAGTCTTTCTCCAACATTCCAATCCACTCATTCTATTGGAAAATCATGAAGTTTGTCTGGTTGATTGCTGAGAGTAGGGCCACCGTGGTAGGATCAACGTTGGGTGGTACGAGAATTGGTTGAAAAACACCTGGATTCTCGAAATGTTGGACGACGTTGTAGGCCGCATTGTCGGAAGAGAAAGAGGCGGTGAGTCCGTTCCTAGGGTCACCCTCTTCCGCAACATTCGTCACATTGTTGTTGTGGTCATCGCCGACAATGAAGGTGGTGAAGGCAGTTTCGTGAATGTTATCGTCAGTGTGTTGATTGGCCATGATGATCGGTAGATTTTTGAAAGTTTACTTTGGTCTTTAGATTTCAGAGAAAGAAAAGACGGGGGAGCAAAGAGTTCCCACATATGGCGCCACTGATCTTACCGAGACTAGAGATTCAATCAGCAGCCAAAAACACGTCGTGAACTCTAAATTCTCTAGTGAATGAGAAAAGGAGGGGGTGTACCTACAAGGCACTCTAATGTCAAAGTAAGGTTCAGAGTGAAGCGAAAAGACAAGTACAGAGTAGTGATAATGAATTCAGAATACCTGACACTCTGTTAAAGAGGTATTTATAAAGCCCCCAACGCTGGGGCAAAGGTCATCTGTTGTGGGCCAGATCGTTAGGCCCACCACGAATGAGTGCCAGGATCCTTTGTGAAAGTAGGAAAGACCAGCATGTGATCTTCTTCCTGGGTCAACTACCCCACGAATTTGCGGAAGTGAACGAGTTGCCCGTTACGAAGGAAAGAACGTTTCCACGAGAAACGTGGGATCAACTGACCACGCGTCCTCAGGTGAGAACCGTGTGAGGAGCGCCTGAAGAATGTGCCCTCCTACGATTATGATGGATTGGGCCTGTGTTAGGCCTTCTTGATGTTGAACTGGACTGAGTTGTACCCGACGGTAGGCCAGCCCCAGAGCAAATCCAAAACATAAGATTTTCAATTTTAAGAATTGTGATGTGAAAAATAAAAAGGCTTAGATATACATGTGATGCGGAAATGTCTAGTTGAACAAATTTATGATGAGAGATTGCAAAACTTCCCATAATATTCGACATGGATATTAAAATTTGTCATTGTAGATAATGTCCCATCAATAAATATGAACATAAATTATTGTGGGAACCAAAACTCAGAATAAAAAAATGAACTTAATAGACCAATTAACCAGCTTTTTAAATAGAGCAATCAAAACTTTATAGGATTTTTATTAACATATTGTCTCCAGGATGTTTTTTCAAAAACTTTAAAATAGTTTAACATTTTTTATTATTTTGAAAATATTTAATAGATTTTGTTGATCTTAACTTATTTTTTTATTTTTATTTTTTAAAAAATTAGTTTTTAGATATTTTGGTTTATTATTGCTTTAGCTTTTTATTGTATTTTGTTGTTTTTAAAATAATTTCTTTATTAAAAATTTATTTCTTATTTAAGTTTTTTCAAAAAATTTTAAAATAACTTATTTTGATAAATTGTTATAAATATGAATTTAACTTGACGTGATAATAATTTACTAAATTACTAAATATCACATCAATAATTTTTAAAATGTAAGGTTCATAGAATGTGATTCTAAGCTAGTTACTTTAATTTTAAAGACACACATCTAATTTCTTTGTCACTCATACCTTTCATGAAGACAACTAGTACCCAAATAAATTAGTTAATTTAAGTTTAGAAAAATATCAAGTGGATCATCTTTCCACGTTTTTTAGGGAATAATTTATTTATAATAGAATAGATCTTACAAATTACCTCTTTAGTAAATCTTGATTTATTGTTTGGTCCCCTTCCTCTTTTCTTATCTTTCCTTTTAATCTAGATAGATAAAAATATGGGGATTTAAAAAAAAAATTAAAAACGGTGACCACTATTTTAATTTTAAAATAATTAAAATCATTTTGTTATTTTTAATTTAATCTTTAAATTATAAATTTTCAAATTCATAACAAATAAAATAGGTTTTGAAAGTTTTGATTTTACTTTAGAAATTTGAGAAGAGAAGAAAAAAATGTATATCTCTCATTCGCAACTTTTTTTTTTTTTTTGGCTTCTTCCCTTTTTAAGAAAGGAAACCAATGTGCATAGCCTTAAATTACCAAATTTTAGATAAGAATAGAAGATTTTGGTTTGGTCCCCTTCAATTTTATTGGTCCATTTTTTTATTAATTACATTTACTCTAATAGTTCCCTCTTCTAGACCTTCTTTATTTAAATAAAATGCTTGAAATACACATTTTCTCCTCTTATTACTTTTTAAATAAATATTTGGTCCACCATTATAATAACCAATTTTTTGGTCCTCCAATTTAATTATTTTGTGTTTTTTTTTTTTGTCAATTTCTCTATTTTGATTTCAATTTGATGACAAATTTAAAATGTTACGTTTATAAAATTTTCTATAAAATATGACATGTATATTAAATTAATTTTTGTTGATGTAGACATTGTCAAAATCAACAAAATTGGCTTAGAAATGTTGTAAAGGACTAAAACTCGGCATAAAATAAAATTAAGGGAACAAATAATAGATTCTTAAAATCGAAAGATAAAAGTTTCATTTTTAATATAAGATTTTGCCTTGAGGATTTTTTTTTAATATTTAAAAGATTTTAGCATTTTTAATATTTATTTTTTAAGGGATCAATTTAATTGATAGATTGAAATTTTCTTTAAAATCAATACTTTGATTTCCTTCACGGAAGATGCGGATAACTTTGCCTAGACTTTTATGAATGACCCATAGTTTTGCTTGGAGGATATCCAAAAAAAATAAAAATAATGATGAATATATAGAAATTGAATTGCCATGTCCTAAATCATCTTGTTTCTTTATAAAAAAATGTTAAAAAACAACTGTTTGATCCTTCAATTTTAATTTTTTTCTTCTGAGTTTTGGTCACTTATGTTATTTAGAGATTCATTTCAATGATGTGAAAGTGATTCGTTCGACAAATGTAAGAGAACTCGTCAAATTTTTCTTTATTATATGACATGAATTTTATATTTGTCGATCTAAGCGATGTCATGCCAACAAATTTAACTTAAAAATATAGTTGGTACTAAATCTTTGAACATTTAAAATGAAGGAAACAAAAATTAAATTTTAAAATTGACGAATCAAAACTTTAACTTTTTAAAATAAAGTGACCAAAATTACATATAAGCTAATAGGTAAAATATAAAATATGGTAAAAACAATTATGAAATATCTCTCTTTAAAAAATAAAATATATGAAATATCTCTGTTTATGAATGAAAATATATTTAAATTGCAAATAAATTTGTAAATAATTTTTACAGTACATTTTTATTTTATTTTTCATGTTTCATTACTCTTATACATTTTGATAACAAAAAAGCTTATTCTTTTATTTTTATTCTTCCTTTTATTTTGCTTATAAATAAGATTCACACATCCAACCTCAATCAACAATATTATTGCTATATTTAATTAGAAAACTATAAGTCATGGCTTTCAACAAGTTTTCATCCATAATTTTAATGCTTTCTCTTCTTTCTTATTCAATATTCACTGATGCTGCTGATGGTTCTCCACCATCACCAAACCCAACACCTTCTCCAGTTGCTCCATCATCACCAAACCCAACACCTTCTGCTAATACAACTCCACCTTCACCACAAGGTCAATGCCCCATAGACAGCTTAAAGTTAAGGGACTGTGTTGGTCTTTTAGGATTGATTAATTATGGAAATCCTCCTTTTGGTGGTAAATGTTGTGCATTAATAAATGGTTTGGTTGATTTGGAAGCTGCAACATGTCTTTGTATTGCACTTAAGGCTAATGTACTTGGAATCAACTTGAGTATACCTATTAGCCTCAGCGCCATCATCAGTGCTTGTCACAAAACTGTCCCTTCTGAATATAAATGTGTTTAAAGATTTAAAATAGGTTATGTGTGGTTCTTGAATAAGAATGTATGTGCATTATGATAGTTGTTTGTGGTATTATAATTGTTAACAACACGTTCTCTAACATTTTGCATGGTTATTGGTTGAAATTCATAAGCTATATTTAGAATAAAAATGTGAGCAACATGTACTAAAAAATACTCATGTGAATTTCAACCAACAATATGGAATGTTTTGCAAAGTGAGTAGATTGAGTGTGTTGTTAACATTTTATTATTATTATTGTTATTAAGGTGTTTTGGAGATTAATAATTGGACAAGCTTGTTTGTCTAAATTAGTATTTTGTATTTCCAGTGATGTATTGTGAAATATTATGTTTGTTTGAAATATGCTTTAGAGTTTATGTATTTTTAAGTGAAAATATTTTAATACTTATAATTTTTATTTGTACACACTAGACATTAAAATTTAAGCCAAATGAAGAAATATATCTTGGCCAACAAACAAAAAAAACTTAATAGAAAAATAAATAAATAACAGGGATAGCTATATCTTGGCATACCAAGCTTATTATAGACAAAGGTATTAGGACGAAAAGACGGCAAAGAATCCTAATAACTAAAATTATTAAAAGTCAAATCATACTATTTACAATATAAAAATTTTAAATTTAAATTTAAGTTTTAAAAAATTTATAAATAAGTTTATAAGATTTAAAAGGGCATATGAAATATTTTTATAAATTAATAAGACATAAATAATTATATAAATTTTTAGAAAAAAATTATAATTATTGCTTTGTTATTTTCTCTTTTATTTTGTTGTTGTTGGGAATCTTCCTTTACATTTATAAAAAGAATGATTATGAGAAATGTGAGATTTTGGATTGAACTCTAGTTTAGCATATCATCGAAGTCTGTTTACATGTTGTTGTCAAAGACCTACATGTTGTAGTCAAAATATGTTCTAATATGTAGTTGTCGAATTGAACATTGTGTTAAGGATACAATTATTTAAGTTAGCTTGTAATGAGTAATTTTTAAAAAATTCATTAGTTTGGTATAATAGGTTTTATTATAAATATCATACTAGTCTCTCATCTTAAGTGTGACAAATCGTAATTAAGGTGAGAGAGTTATTTGTTATTCTTGACTACTTGTAATCTGATTTAAAGAGAAAGTAAAGAATAACAGTTATAACCAATCCTTATTGTTTTTCTTCTTGTTTTTCTATTAATCCTAACCCGTGCGTGTTTCTTGATTATAAAGAAACATTTTATACTTTATTCTAAAGCATCAGATTTCACAATAATTTGGTGCGGTGAGCATGGAGAAGATGCATTCAACAAAGTATGAGATTTAAAAGTTCATCGGATTGAACGATTTTGCTCTGTGGCGCTTGAAGATGAAAGTCTTATTGGTTCAACAAGGTTGTTTGGAAGCGTTGAAGGGAGAGGCAGCCATGGACGTTGCCTTAACGGAAAAGGAAAAGACGGTCACGATAAAGAAAGCTCACAACGCAATATTGCTGAGCCTTAGTGATAAGGTTCTCCGACAGGTATCAAAGGAGACGACGACATCGAGGTTATGGTTGATGATAACGCGAAATCATATCGTTTATTTGGCTTGATTTACATGTATTTATTTATGACTATTATTAATTTATCTTGATTTATGTTCTATTATATGATTAATTTACTTCGTTTTGTAGATTAGGGAGAATTTAGACTAAAGAAAGAAAAGGAGAAGAAATGGAAGAAAAAGAGATGAAAAACAGCAGATACGGATTTTGCTGATATGACGGTCGTCACAGGTCCATTACGACCGTCATGCGTGTGACGACTGTCACATTCCATTACGAGCGCCACGCAGGCAAAATATCAGTAAGTTCAAATCAGAAGAAGCCACGATCAATCTCAACTTAATTTCTTCCTACACTTTCTCCACTCATTGCCCACTACTGGAAGTTACTCTCACTCCCTCCATAACTCACCCATGATCTCTGGAAGTTGAAGAGTGAATTATCTCCTATAAATAGGCCTTAGATTCACAGTTTTAGGGGGGAGCCTTCGATGTATCGAAGTGCTGCCAAAATTCCCATTGAAGCCAAATTTACTTTCCTGCATTATTTTCCATTTCTCTTCCTTTTATTTCATTTGTATCGCTTTATTTATTCCTGTACCTTTTAATTCTCGCCAAAGTAGAATCCTGCCGACTGTCGTACCTCGAAAAATACGATCCTCGCGATGGCCGCGGAAAATACTATTCGAAACAGAGTCGCCACCGAACTTTATTCATTCCAAGGATGGAATAGGAAAATATCGATAAAACCTTTAAGGAGATAAGAACATGGTCATCGCAACCAATATTCTAGGTTCGGGAGTCGATTACGCAGAGGGAAGGTATTAGCACCCTCTACGTCCGTTGTACTCAACGGGAATCTCTTGATCGATTCGAGAGTAAAGTTAACTATGCTTGTTTGTTTTCTTCTAAGGTTTCTACTATGGGGGGAATGGATGGTTATAGGATAGGGTGCTCGCAAAGGATTGGGGCCCTTGTGCCTACGTATCTTCACTTATAAGAAGTGGAAAATCAGAGCATTCGTAGTTCGGGGACTACGGGAAAAAGAGGGGATTGTGCTCGCCAAGATCATCGCAATCTTGTGCCTACGTATCTTACATTCAAGAGAGAATGAAGAATCAGAGCAGCCGTAGTTCGGCCAACTACGGTAAATTGGGAACGAACGAGTGTTTAGGTCGCATTCTAACTGCTAAACGTTGGCTTGTCTGCTCGCTAGGGGAGGCTGAAGCGCGAGTTTGTTATGCGCGGAAGAAAGGACTAAACAATGTTCTTGACAAAAGGTGTTTTTGTTGGAAATCGCACGAGGGCGAGGGATTTGTGTTTATCGCATTGGATGTTTTGGTTAGAGGATATATTTAAATAGGTTTAAGGTTTCGATTGCACGGGGGCAAGAAAGAGTTGGAATGATTGGATATTGTAAGGGAGAATGACGACTATTCGATAAACGAGACGTCAGTCTCGCAATCAATTAATCGGGATATCATTGGAATGCTAGATCCCAATAACACCTTGTTCATTCGAATAATTTCGAAATATGTTCGAAATTGTGTTGAGAAACGAAAGATTGATTGACAAGCAACCTAAGAGCGTGCCTTAAGAGCTTGTTACTCAAGAATTCAAGGAATGCGAGATTCCAAGAACTCTATTCTTTCGGAAATAGTTTGGGTTAGAAATTGCACGAGGGCGAGGAACTAATGTTTTGAAAAGATTCAATCGCACGGGGCGAGAGAAGAGTTGGAATGGTTGAAAATTTAGGAGAGAATGACGACTGCTCGATAAACGAGACGTCAGTCTCGCAATCAATTAATCGGGATATCATTGGAATGCCAGATCCCAATGATACCTTTTTCATTCAATTAATTATGAAAGTGTATTTGAATGGACAATGGCGATATTTGTCCAAATAGTTAGGGCACGTGTTTTATAAACGAAAGGTTGAGCGAACCACAACCTAAAGCGTACGCCCCAAGAGTAGTTACTCAAAAATTCAAGGGGTGCGAGACTCCAAGAACTCAGTTCTTTCGTAATTTGATTAGGAAAATAACTTGAATTTGATGTACGGTTTAGAGACATACTAGGGTTTAGACTCGACCGTACGGAGGTGAGAAACAAGGTTAGAGAGGTTGTATGTTTAGGAGGAATGACGACTACTCGATAAACGAGACGTCAGTCTCGCAACCAATTAGTCGGGATATCGTTGGAATGCTAGATCCCAACGACAATCTTTTTCATCCCATTAATTATGAAAGTGTTTGCTGGACAGTGAATACTTGTCCAAATAATTATGGAGATATTTTAGAAACGAAAGTTCGAATGATATACTGTTCGAGGTGTACACCTTGACCGTAATTATTCTCGAATTCAAGGAATGCGCGACTCCAAGAACTCGATACTTTCGTAATTTAATTATAAAAATAATTTGAAAATATTAGCGTGTAGATTAAACTAGGGTGAGCGTATTGCTCGAATTAGGGTTTGCGACCTTTGGAAGGTTTAAACGAGGTTAGATGTTTTTAAGGATGAAAGACGAAGCGACCACAACTCAAGGTGTGCACCTCGAGAGCGGTCGCTTAAGGATCCAAGGAGTGCTAGACTCTAAGGATCCACCACTTTCATATAGATTCAAAAAGGATTTTTTTATTTATTCTATTCTAAAAATGTTTTGATTTTAATAAAAGGTAAATAAGAATCAAGTTCGATAAAATTCTAAAAAGGTAATTAAATAAATGTCATATTGTAAAGAAAATAATAATTATTATAGTTATAATAAAATCTAATAATATTGTTAATAATGTTGCCAACATTACTAATAACATTATTAATATAATCAGTTTCTAAAATAAACCTTATTAAATTTCACTAAGTTTTAGTTACACTGATTAATATTGATAAAAAAAAAAGTGACCGGTCAACAGCTACCGCATGCGTTTCTTATAGGGACTATAAATCCAAGATTAACACTAAATAATAATAAAACTAAGAACATATTTTGAAAAGAAAACAAACAAACTATTCCCTACACCATTTATTATCTCTTTCTAACCTCCTCCGTCTATAACACAAAATCAAGGAAAATAAGCCAGACCCTTTCATTTTTCAGAAGAAAACCTCACACTGTTACCTACAGAAACTAATAACCTGTTATTCTTATGGTGAATCGGAGACCTTAGCTTCTTTAGCACAACAATCAATATCAAGAACCTTTATAGAGTATACGATAAAGAAGGCAGAATAAAAAGGAAGCATCGGAATAAAACGTGAAGATACCGATAAACAAGAATAAGCTGAAGGCGAGGAATGTCTTACCAACTTGGTCGCTTTAACGGTAACGGTGAGTGATTTCCCTATCTTTGCTTTGAATCTTTTCCTTCGTCTTCCCCTTTTAGTTTGATTCTTTCTCCTACTTTACATCTTATCTGTGTATTGATGAGAAAGTATGAGAGTGC